AGACACTGGGGACACTTACTGTACCACAGACACTGTATCACTGACACTTACTGTACCACAGACAGGAACTGGGGACACTCACTGTACCACAAACAGGAACTGGGGACACTCACTGTACCACAGATACACACTGACACATAATGATTCACATACACTGTGTCAGTTTTAGTCTGATTATCAGCGGCAGACGCTTGTATTTAAAGGGCCTGGGAATCACACAACACTAAGGCTGCTAGGAGCAGGCTGCGTGGCGTTAACGCAGGGGTAGGTGATTGCACAAGGCTGAGGGCTTTCAGTGCTTCTCGACAGACAGGAAGCAGTGATGTAAGTGCACGAGGGTCCGTCCCGGACCTCTGGAGTCCATTTTGTCCTGAAGAGATGACTTTGAGTGAGCTCTCATCCGTTTGTTTCTCAGACTCCCCTGTTTGCGATGCAGTGCTCGCTGGCGTCCTCATACAGCCTGAACCAACAGCAGCACGTTACACGGAACTAGAATTCGCTCCCAAATTTAATCTCCTAGCCGAAAATTCGAATTCCGAGGAAGCCGGAAAAGGGAAAAGCACGAGCCCTCGCTCGCCCTTCTCTCAAACTCGAATGCTGTAGCAAAACTGGCTGGGTGTCATCTCCCCGGGTCAGCCTGCGTGTCTAAATCCTGTCTCAAAACTTCTCTCGGTTCTCGAATCCGGAATCATATTTCTCATGCCTTCGCCCTCGGCTCGTTGTACCGTAAGGCACCCCCGAGATAAAATCCCTTCTGCCCTCCCCCGAGTTGACCTCGATCTCCGTGTCTCCCTGTCCCTTCTCTTCCAGAGCTCCAGAACCGGAAACGCAGAACCCCTCTGGGCCCACCGGTCTGCGTTCGGTGTCTCCGCTGGACCAATCCCTCCACACAGCCCGCAGTGATCTCTCTCTCTCGTTGCTGTTCACACTTCCCAGCAACAAAACAGCCCCTGCGATCTGCTTCTTTACACCTCTCCTACGTTATTTACCACTCGTTTCACTCTTCTGACACGTCTGCATCACTGGTAGGGTTTTCCCAGTGTCAGAATTAACGTTGCATTTTTTACTGTAGCTTACATTTAATAATAATAATAATAATAATAATAATAATAATCGCTTACACTTATATAGCTCTTTTCTGGACACTCCACTCAAAGCTCTTTACAGGTCATGGAGATCTCCTCCACCCCCACCGGTGTGCAGCCCCACCTGGATGATGCTCCAGTCCTCTCCCCACACACCAGCTCTCAGTGGGGAGGAGAGCAGAGTGATGAAGCCAGTTCAGAGATGGGGATTATTAGGAGGCCATGACTGGGAAAGGCCAGGGGGAAATTTGGCCAGGACACTGGGGTAACACCCCTACTCTTTTCAAGAAACGCCCTGGGATTTTTAAAGACCACAGAGAGTCAGGACCTCGGTTTTACGTCTCATCCAAAGGACGGCGCCTGTTTACAGTGTAGTGTCCCCGTCACTATACTGGGGCATTAGGACCCACATGGACCGCAGGGTGAGCGCCCCCTGCTGGCCCCACTAACACCTCTTCCAGCAGCAGCCTCAGCTTTCCCAGGAGTCTCCCATCCAGGTACTGGCCAGGCTCACACTGCTGAGCTCCAGTGGGGCTGCCAGCTGGGAGTTGCAGGGTGATATGGCTGCTGGCTATTATGCAGAGTTCACGTAAGGCGTCACTGTGTACTTTAAAAAGCCGGCACGTAATACCTTTCAGGGCATTGTTCTTATTTCTTCACTTGCGTAGTTCCTCAGAGTAAGACCCAACAGGCCCTGGAGCTGGCCGGGGCTGAAAACTCCGCATTAGGGCCAGCAAGATGGGTATTGTCACGCAAGAGGCAGGAGGGGCAGCCGACGATCGTGCGAAAGCAGAACCGAGGGACTGCAGAGGTGGAGACGGCCGGGAGGGGGGATCCAAAATGATCGGGGAGGGGGAGAGGGGGCCGTGTGACGTACTGTATATGGGAATGAGAAACGCAGTCAAGATTATTTGTGGGGTGTGGCAGCTGATCTCAATGAGTCTGGCTGCCCTCCTCCCTAGCTTTCACTAGAACTGCATTTAAATGTTGCTCGGCTAATTTGACCTAGCAATGATATTTCTAATAATACTTCTATGGCGCTGTTCTGGACACTCAAAGCGCTTTACAGGTCATGGGGATCCCCTGCACCCCCACCAAGTACCGGAACGCGGCTGCACTAGTAAAGCGCAGCAGTCAGAGACTGGAGGCTGGATTCCCAATCTGGCCAACAGTAAGGAGCTAACTGGGGCAGGCCGGCCAAAACCGCAACCCGAAACTGTACCCCGAAAACAAGCAGGGGTGGAAACCGGGTAGGTTCAAGAATGCAGGAGCAAGGAGAACAGAGGTCAAGGGAGCGAAAGCCGGGAAAACAGGGAAAAACCAAAGCAGAACACAGGACATGGAAGGTAAGTACACAGGGAATGTCACGCTGGGCAGTGAGGAGCCAAGACTGAGAGCCAGAGATGCAGAGGCAGATCCGAGTCAGATGCTTAAGGATGAGCCTGATCTTCCTCTTCATCATGGTGTCACAACAGCCACTTGGTTGACGGGACTGACATTATTCGAGGTAATCCCGGCAGGATTTCTAGTCCTACAACTGGAGTGGATGTGTCCACTGTGCAGGCAGTGCTGTTGAGTTTCCCTCCACTGCCAACGACAGCCGACAGAGGCTTGCTTCCTGTCCTGGCCCTGTTTCGTGGGGAGGATACAGACTGACACTCTGCCCGTGACGTACCGTGGTGAAGTCAGGGAACTACAATGACGCAGGTCTGTCGAAAGACTCTAGACAGACTCGGGCACGCAGGGTTCTCATTCCTGAGGATTCTCGGGCTCATATGCCCTTCTCCTGTGCGAGACAACGATGCATCAGCAATAGCGATATATATATAAAACACACAATGACTCCCACAAGAGACTGTAAATATAGTAGTTAAACTTTATTAATAAATAAACGATCTCTCTGTACACAATTCAAATAAATAACAAGTGATGTGGAAATATAAACAAAGGCAAAGATGAACAATACAAAGTCTTTAAACGAATGTGCAAAACTGCCAGCCATCGTTTCAGCTTACAGAAACTCTCAGCTCCACGGGGTCTGTGAATCTCCACACAGGGCGTGATCTCCCCAACACACGCAACACATTGAAAATAACAATTACAACAAGATGCAATTTATACTTCCAAAGGCATGTATCAGAATATACGTTAACCATACAGTTGTGCCTTTGAACCTTGTTAAATGGGCAGCACGGAGGCTCAGTGGTTAGCTTTGCTCTCTCGCAGTGCAGGAGCCCTGGAGTCAGTTCTGGACCAAAGGTGCTGTCTGCGTGGAGTTTGCATGTTCTCCCCATGTTTGTGTGGGTGTCCAAAGACACACTGGTAGGTTAAATGGCCTGGTGTGTGTGTGTGTGTGTGTGTGTGTGTGTTTGCGTCTGTCCGCCCTGTGATGGACTGGCGTCCTATCCAGGGTGTATCCTGCCTTGCACCCGCTGCCTGCTGGTATAGACTCCGCCTCCCCACTACCAAATGCCAATTTATATATCTCCAATTGTAAATCTGCTGTCCTGCTACTCCCTTTTTTTTTTGCAGTCGCTCAGTACATACTTTTAAGACGATTATTGTGTCCCTACTTTCAAGTTGATACCAAGGAAAAGACAATAGCAGGGCATCTAGTACTATAAGTGCATACCGTTGGAAATGGAGAAAATGAACCGTTTCGCTATCACAGTGAAACAACCAGACCTCTACAAACCCGTTCATTTCACGGATTCGGGGCGTTTTCAGAAGTGACTAATGACCACGGTAAAATTTGCAAAGGTCAAAAGCGTCTGTTCGGGGAAATCAGACCCTCTTAGCCAGCGAAACCTAGAACTGCTTTTGTGACCCCCACATTACTGACCTACCTGAAGCCAGCACGAGCTACCCACGAGAGAGTGCATTTGTGGTGAATTCGCTATAAAGTCAGCAGTCTGAGGCTAGTGAGCAAGACCCTGTCAACACCAGATTCACAAGAAGGTCTCTCCTCACAAATTAAAGTAAACACCAAAGTTCTTGGGGCTCATCCATCATCGTAGCTCATTTAGCTAATTGAGCACATTCAGCGGGTTTATTGAAGGAAGCCAGGCTTCAACGACATGGCTAGGTAGCTTATTCCCAACTCCCACCACCCTTTGCGTAAAGCACTTCCTGTTCTCAGTTTTAAATGCCCTTCAAAGACGTTTTCACGTATGCCTCCTTTCTCCTGTTTCACCGAGTCGGTGCCTGTGTGGATTCTGAATACCCGAATCAGGGTCTTCCCTGTTCACGATTTGAAAAAGGGTTTGGCTTTTTCAGCCTGTCAGTGCTGGACAGTCGGCAGGCCCTTTCTCAGCTGACAACGCACAAGCTGAGACGTGTCGATTCACAGCAGTGCCAATTCGTTACGAATACACACAGGAGGAAGACTTCTGGAATATCTGGAGGGACCCGGAACCGAAAAAGAACGGGGATTTCTCTTCCAGGTGGGGAGGCTGAAAAGCCAGATGCTCCCCACCAGAGCCCCCCCGATTCGGATACCTGTCACCCCCCCCTGATCAGCCCTTTCAGTTACAAATCCCCACGCATTCCTGTCAGTCGTTAGGTCTGTGCTAGCTTCATTTGCCCAGTCCTGCTCCTCCTCCTGCCCTCTCTGAGCTCCAGCTTGTCCAGTCAGGATCAGTCCGGCCCCCCAGGTCCTCATCCTGGCGTCCCCGAGGGGCCCAGGCTCCTGCTGGCCTGGGGCGTCTCTTCCCAGCTTCCCGGCTGTCCGTCTCACCGCCGGGCGTCGGGTCTCAGGTGCCGCCCAGCTCCACGTCGCCCAGCGAGGGGGCGAAGGGGCGGGGCCGGCGCTCCCGCTGCGCGTCCACCAGGGGGAGCCGCGGAGCAGGGATCAGGAGCGGGGCCGCCTCGAAGGAGAGGAGGAGGTCCGCCGGCGGGGGCGGGGGGGCCTTCGGGTGCCCCGGCTCGCCGGCCTGGAGGGCGGCCTTCCTGAAGTAGCCGTCCGGGAAGCAGGCGAGCGAGGGCCCCTCCGGGGGCCCGGCTCCTTTGCAGTCTAGAGCGGGGATCTGCCCCGTTAGGGGGTCCGGCGGGGGGGCGCTCTTCCCCTCCGGCTCGTCTCCGGCGCGGCACCAGACGCACGCCCCCCGGCCCGCGCACGCGCAGCCCGGAAAGCTGGGCCTGTAGCCCAGGGGGCTGTCAGCCCCCTCTGCACCAGCAGCTGCCCCCCGAGAAGCGGGGATCTGGCTCCGGTAGCCATCAGTCACGAGCACTTCCTGCAAGGTGCACCCCTCTCCTCCGTCCGCGTCGCCGACGCTGTCTGTCCCCCGGTACCGAGACCCCAAACTCACGCCGCTGTCCTCCTTCTGCTGCCCGCCTGCGTAGCTCCTCTCCTCCAGCAGGGGGAGCTCTTCGCTGCCCCTGCTGTCCCTCCTCCCCAGACTCCCGCAGCCGCTGTCCTCCAGCCCCAGGGCGGCCTCTCCCCCGTACCTCCCCGCCTCCCCGGCCGCAGTGCCGCCGCCGGCCTGCGGGGGGCGCTGCCCCAGGCTCACGCCGCTGTCCGCGCTGCCCCGCCTCCCGTCCTCCGCCTTCTCCTCCTTCCTGCCCTCCAGGAACCAGACGGGGCGCCAGGGGGAAGTCACCGTCTCCACGGCGACCGCCCCCACCCTCAGGGGCTGCCAGCTGCTGCCCAGGGATTTCTGAGGGAGACAGAAACAAGACGTCAACGGGCCTGGAAAATTTGGGAGAATTTTATTTTGGCTTCCTCCATTCTCTGGGCCCTATTGTTTTTTTTGCTTTCATAACAGGGCGGGCCGGTTTGTTCCACGCTCCCACCGCCCTTTGTGTAAAGACGTGCTTCTCGATAGCAGCTCTAAATGCGCTTCCACCTAATTTCCAACTGTTTCACAAATCTGGGCCCTACAGAGACAGACCTGCTGAGCACGGCCCCCAGTACAGCGCGGCCTGCTCCCAGCATGCCCTGGGCCACGCCAAAACAGATACTGCAGCTACAAATGGAGGAAAGAGCTGCAGAAACGGTTTGTACCGTCCGTGAAACCCTCATCTGTCCCCCCCTGAACTGCTGTCTTTCCTTTTCATTCCGCCTCTCTGTGGTTTCGCCTACTGCTCGGACCGTCCACGCCCGACCTGAGAGGACAGGGCCGGTAGGTAGCTCTGCGGACGACACTCACCAGTGTCCGGGGCAGGATAGCCGGTCGCCGCAGAAACCAGCACAACAGCAGGAAGGAGAAAGCCAGCACTCCGACCAAACACCCCAAAACCATGAGGATCAGGACCCAGGGCGTCCCTGGAAACAGAAACACAGGGTGAGAGATGCAGACGGCGAAACACAGAGAGAAGCAGAGACCTGCATCACAGGCAGAGATGGACGCGCAGAGTGAAACAGTCACGGAGAGAGAGAAACATACAACACAGTTCCCAGAAGCCTGTCTGGTTTGGTTGTTAGTAGTCAACTGATCCGATCTTAGCCTGCCTTTCCTTCAGGGAAACCAAGGTATCAGCTGCAATGACATGACTGGGCAGCTGGTTCCACACTCCCGCCACCCTCTGTGTAAAAGCCGTGCCTCCTGTTCCAATAGGAGGATCTCCTCCGCCCGTTTCCTGAACGTGAATGGGGAACTCGCTCCACACTCCCACAACCCTCGGTGTAAAGCAGTCCCCTCCTGCTCTCAGTTTTAAAAACACTTTCACATAAGTGGCGGCCCCTGATTCGTGTTGCACTGTTGGTGCAGTCCATTCCCAACTGGTAGTCAGTCGCTAACGGATCCCATCATTTCAACCAGCTGTTTCTTGGAAGAAACCAGGCTTCAGCGACATGGCCGGGCCAGCTTGTGCCCTACTCCCACCACCCTCTGGGTAAAGAAGTGCCTCCTGTTCTGCTCGGAGGGTCTCTTCTTTAAAAGAAGCCAGGGTATGGGCTAGATCAACATGGCTGGGCAGCATGTTCCAGACTCCCTCCACCCAGACACACAGACACACAGAGAGTGACACAGACACTGAGATCTGCACTTCGAGAAACAGGTTGGGACACGCGAACAGGGGGACTGACACAACAATTAGGCACAGAATCACAGAACGGCAGGGGAAGACCTACAGGCGCTGACATAGCCGTACCTGCAACCAGAACGCACTGCTCCTCAGAGTTGGCGCTGGCTGTGTTTCCGGAGATACTCTCCACCTTGGCACTGATGCAGTAGATCTGCCCCTTCTGCAGAAACTCCAGCTGCCACTGGTTCTTGTCCTCTGGCAGAACATAGCTGGTCTGCAACCAAGATCACAGCGTGATTCAACACTCACAACCAGAGCAGGTTTCCAGGGCAGAGAGGACACACTGACTTTGACACTGATGCCCACAGTGACAGTGAATAGTTATCCCCTTAAAAGCATTGAGATCAATACTAACACTGATACTGACTCTCATACTGAGAGTGCTAACAGAGAAACTGACTCTAATACTGACACCAATACTGA